AAGTCATGGGACTTTATTTCCTAGACTATGGGGAGCAATTGAATGCTTGTGAGTAGTGAGTAATGACTTAATCATACCTCCACATATAAGGGTTAGTATGTTTGTAAGATTCAAAGTACATTGGATGGGAGAGAAACTGGAGGCAGGAGGCCCATTGAGATAGCAGTATTGTCTGCCAAATGGAACGTGGGTTTTAGAGTCAAGCACTCATTGGTTCAGAGCTTGACTTTGCTCACAAGTTTCATTATTTCTGGCAGATTTATTTAAATTATTAAGCTCTCTCAGCCTCTGTTTTCTTATTTCTTTCTTTTTTTTTTTTTTTTTTTTGAGACAGGGTCTCGCTCTTGTCGCCCAGGCTAGAGTGCAGTGGTGCAATCTCAGCTCACTGCAACCTCCGCCTCCCAGGTTCAAGCTATTGTCCTGCCTCAGCCTCCTGAGTAGCTGGCATTACAGGCACCTGCTAACTTTTGTACTTTTAGTAGAGACAGTTTTCACCATGTTGGCCAGGCTGGTCTCGAACTCCTGACCTCAGGTGATTCACCCGCCTTGGCCTCCCAAAGTGCTGGGATTACAGGCATGAGCCACCGCGCCCAGTCTCTTATTTCTAATGTGTACTCATTTCACCTGTAGATGATAAGTTAAAAGGTCAAGCATAACCCTTGTGTAACAGGCACTTCGTAAGTTACTTTCCCTCTTTTGAGACAGAGATTCAGTCTGTCGCCTAGGCTGGAATGCAGTGGTACAGTCTCGACTCAGTGCAACCTCTGCCTCCCTGGTTCAAGTGATTCTTGTGCCTCAGCCTCCCAAGTAGCTGAGATTACAGGCGTCCACCACCATGCCCAGCTAATTTTTGTATTTTTAATAGAGATGGGGTTTCGCCACATTGACCAGGCTGGTCTGGAACTCCTGGCCTCAGGTGACCTGCCTGCCTCAGCCTCCCAAAGTGCTGGGATTACAGGTGCGAACCACTGTGCCCAACCTAGTTTTTCCTCTTTATGGAGCTTAGTTGCTGAATGGTGAACACAGACCAACAGCTGTCAGTTTTAACTAGGGAATATCAGTCTATGGATGTTGAGAGATGGCTGAAGGCAGTATATGGTGGCCCCAGAATTTTTAGATACTGACAATATCATTTTGAAAGTCTGGAGAGGCCAGGTGGGGTGTCTCATGCTTGTAATCCCAGCACTTTGGGATGCTGAGGTGGGCAGATCACTTGAGGTGAGGAGTTCAAGACCAGCCTGGCCAACATGGCAAAACCCCGTTTCTACTAAAAATACAAAAATTAGCTAGGCCTGGTTGTGCATGCCTGTAATCCCAGCTACCTGGGAGGCTGAAGTAGGACTGCTTGAACCTGGGAGGCAGAGGCAAAAGTGAGCTGAGATAGCACCACTGCACTCCAGCCTGGGTGACAAAGTGAGAATCCGTCTCAAAAAATAAAATAAAGAGGCCGGGTGCGGTGGCTCACGCTCATAATTCCAGCACTTTGGGAGGCTGAGGCAGGCAGATCACGAGGTCAGGAGTTCAAGACCAGCCTGGCCAATAGGTTGACAGCCCATCTCTACTTAAAAAATACAAAAATTAGCTAGGCATGGTGGTGCTCACCTGTAGTCTCAGCTACTCGGGAGGCTGAGGCAGGAGAATCACTTGAACCCAGGAGGCAGAGGTTGCAGTGAGCCAAGATTGCACCACTGCACTCTAGCCTGGGCGACAGAGTGAGGGAGTGGAGTGGAGAGTGGAGTGGAGTGGAGTGGAGGTCAGCTTTTTCATTCACAAATTGATTTTTCAGATTGTGAATTACCCATGCTTCACCTTGCTTTCTTTATCTTCCATGTCCTTCCTCATTAGTAAATCTAAAGGTAGAACCCTAAAGAGAAATGAAATTGAACCTTTTATTTAGTTACTGAAAAACTATAAATCTGGTAATCATACCTCAAGTTCTCTTTCTAGCTCTGCAGTTAATTTCCTATGGATCTTTGGCAAATCATAGCCTCTCTGGGTTCTTCGACTCCTCAGATAGAAGATTCTGGTTTAGCCGGGCACGGTGGCTCACGCCTGTAATCCCAGCACTTTGGGAGGTCAAGGCAGGCGGATCACGAGGTCAGGAGATCGAGACCATCCTGGCTAACACAGTGAAACCCCGTCTCCACTAAAATTACAAAAAAAATTAGCCGGGCGTGATGGTGGGTGCCAGTAGTCCCAGCTACTCGGGAGGCTGAGGCAGGAGAATGGCGTGAACCCGGGAGGTGGAGTTTGCAGTGAGCCGAGATCGGGCCATTGCACTTCAGTCTGGGCGACAGAGTGAGACTCCGTCTCGGGAAAAACAAAAAAAAAGAAGATTCTGGTTTAAAAACTTTTATGACTGTAATTTTAATCTTTGTTGGCAGAAGAATTATAAATCAAATTGCATATTAAATGAACTGGAATTTATAAAGAAATTTAGTAGAAAATCTTTTCTAGGCCGGGTGTAGTGGCTCATGCCTGTAATTCCAGCACTTTGGGAGGCCAAGGCTGGCAGATCACTTGAGGTCAGGAGTTCAAGACCAGCCTGGCCAACATGGTGAAACCCCGTCTCTACTAAAAATACAAAAATTAGCTGGGCGTAGTGGCACATGCCTGTAGTCCCTGCTATTCAGGAGGCTGAGGCAGGACAATTGCTTGAGCCCAGGAGGCAGAGGCTGCAGTGAGCCAAGATTGTGCCACTGCACTCCAGCCTGGGAAACAGTGAGACTCCGTCTCAAAAAAAAAAAAAAACTTTTCTAGGCCAGGTACAGTGGCTTACACCTGTAATCTAGCATTTTGGAAGGCCAAAGAGGGAGGATCACTTAAGCCCAGCAGTTTGAGACCAGCCTGGGCAACATAGCAAGACCCTGTCTCTACAAACATTTTTTTTTAATTACCTGGGTGTGGTGGTGCTCACCTAAGATGTCAGCTACTCAGAAGGCTGGGGTGGGAGGATAGCTTGAGCCCAAGCAGTTTGAGGCCACAGTGAGCCATGATCATGCCACTGCACTCCAGGTTAGGTGACAGGGCAAGACCCTGTCTCTACAAAAAGGACATAAATTTAAAAAAAAAGAAAAGAAAATATATTTTCTAAAGCTTTTGCTTTTGAACTAGGCTAAGGGTAGGCTTATAGGCTCAAGCCTGTGATCCCAGGGTTTTGGGAGGCCAAGGCGGGAGGATCACTTGAAGCCAGGAGTTTGAAAACAGCCTGGGAAACATACCAAGACCCTGTCTGTACAAAAAATTGAAAAATCGCCAGGGGTGGTGACATGCATCTGTAATCCTAGCCACCTGGGAGGATCGCCTGAGCTCAGGAGTTTGAGACTACAGTGAGCCATGATCACACCACTGCACTCCAGCCTGGTTGACAGAGTGAAACCTTGTCTCAAAATAAAAAATAAAAATAAATATTAATTGAAAACAGGTCAGGCATGGTGGCTCACACCTGTAATCCAAGCACTTTGGGAGGCTGAAGAGGGTGGATTGCTTGAGTCCAGGAGTTTGAGAACAGCCTGGCCAACACGGTAAAACCCTGTCTCTACAAAAAGTACAAAAATTAGCCACGTGTGGTGGCCTGTGACTATAGGCCCGGCTACTTGGGAGGCTAAGGTGGGATGATCACCTGAGCCTGGGGAGATTGAGACTGCAATGAGCCATGATCAGGCCATTGCACTCCAGCCTGGGTGACAGAGTAAGACCCTGTCTTTAAAAAAAAAAAAGAAAAAAGAAAAGAAATATTAATTAGAAACCCATGGTTGAAACTTACCTGAATAGAAGGCTTTATTTTTCTCATAGGTAAGCCTGTGTTTTCTTGGATGTGAAACTAGGGCAGTGGGTTGCTCTTAGGTAATACAAGATGAAATGCAGCGATGCGATGATGAGTGAAGTAGTCTGACCTGGTATTGCCATTGCTTCAATGTTGGCTTTGACCAGGGTATGATCTCTTAATCTTCTCTCTGAGCTGATTCTGGTTGTGGTTTTTCCACACAGGTGTGTTGTATCCTGTTTGGACACTGGTTTTATCATGTTTAAGATGTTTCTTTTATGTTCGTTTGAATTACTGATACTCATGTTTTCCTTCTTAGGTTGAGATGAAAAATCTTGCTTTGAATTCTTCACGGAGGACTACATCATTTCAATCTTGAATCTGGCTCAATTCTATTATTCACTTATTACTGTATTTAAAACATTTAATTGGCTGGGCACGGTGGCTCATGCCTGTAATCCCAGCACTTTGGGAGGCCAAGGTGGGCGGATCACTTGAGGTCAGGAGTTCCACCAGCCGGGCCAACATGGCGAAACCCTGCCTCTACTAAAAATACAAAAATCATCCGGGTGTGGTGGCGCACACCTGTAATCACAGCTACTTGGGAGACTGAGGTGAGAGAATTGTTTGAAACCAGGAGGTGGAGGTTGCAGTGAGCTGAGATCACGCCACTGCACTCAAGCCATGGCAACAGAGTGAGACTCTGTCTCAGTAAAAAAATTAAAAAAATAAAAATGTTTAATTAACCATGATATTTGCTTTAGTAAAAATTTTGAGGTTTAACGAGAATTTTAAAATCCATTACACTTTTCTTATGGCATATAAAAGTTTAAATTTTTTTTTTATTGTCTGAGCTAACATCATAAATGCCTTAATGTTAAAATCCATGGGATATTCTATTTAAAGTTTTAGCTTTATCACCTCTGTGCTATCAGAGAATGTGCTTTGAATTGGTAAAATGAGTTAAAGTATTGGAAAACACCTATGTCAGCAGAGGCTCTCAAAAATCATTTTCATCCTTCCTCTTCTAGTGATGATTTTTTTTTTTTAAACCATGTTTTCACCAGCCTGCCAATCCAATGGCATAAATGCTCCTACATAGGCAACTTAAGTGTTTAAGTTGATGCAAGGTATTTCGCATGAGGCTGAATTCTTATTGTTGGAGCAGAGGATTTTTATTCCAACAACTGAATTGGCAAAACGTCAATATAAAAACACCTCAAAAAGTCAACAGTAGTCTGAATGAAAAATTTATTTTAAACACCTCAAGTAATCTTTACATTTCTACAAAATCATAACAACATGGAAGTTCTTTTCCAGAAACATTTATTCTTAAAATCTACTTAAGTGTTTCATAGAAACTTTAGTAATAACCAGAATAATTCATGACAGTTTAGCAAACTCTTAGCAGCAAGCAGAAAGAACTTATTAAAATATCCTTTCTTTACACAATTAGATTAGTATTTTGCTTCACATCTTCATTGCTTGTTAGCTTTGCTTTTATACAGGAATCTTCAGACTAGTCTCTTTGTAACACTCAACCCCTATTCCTTTTTTAACCAGTTTCTCAAGAAAGATATGGAGAGCTCATACAGGAATATCCTTAAATATCCTAAATATCCAACTTTTAAGATGTCCTTTTTTATCCTTAAAAGCTGATAAACTATAGATGTCACTTAACAAATGGGTCACAGTATATGGAAGGACCTTTCCCCCCCCCAAAGTGTTTCTAAGCATTTCTATCAAGAGCAGGTCTACATTTCTTATCGTTTGCAAACTGATGAAATTTCCACCTTACAGACAGGCAAGTAAATGCTTGCTTTTCTAAAAAGGCTTGCTAACAACTCACTGTTCACTTTATTTTTTATGTAGTCTAACCTGGGTTTTTCCCAAGAGCTTCTGTACTTCTTATATTTTAAGGAAAGGGATAGACAAAAACTTGTGTACTCATTATTCTGTTTAATCTCTACACTGGCCCTCATATGCCCTGCCAGTCCTGATTCTTCTACTTTAAGCAGTTTGGTCAACTGTAAGTAGGGTTCTGGAGAGCAGGCTAAAAGGTTAGGATCAAATGGGCATATCCTTTTAAAGAAATCCATATAGTCATTTAAAGTTCATATAGTTATGAATTGAGGCTGAGAAGTGTCAACTCAGTACCATACTGAAACCAGCTCTATGGCATTATAGCGCAATACTTTTGTTGTGAGGATAAGACACAATTCTTTTTCAGTTCTCGGGGGAGTAGAGTTTAATCAGATGTTGTACTTCTGTTGGATAACCTGTGATGGGACAAGCTTGGTGACTCCTCACATAATGAAACACACAGCGGTAACAAAACACATAGCCAGAGGTGGCAAGAACAGTATCATTCACCCGGGTTTTACGACACAGTGGGCACACAGTCTTCATTTTGGGTAAGAGGGGAGAATCAGAGTTATAGTCTAGGTGTACAGGTGGTGGTGGAGTAGGCAGGGCAGTCAATGACTTGATGGTTTCTTGATTTTCAGATGAATACCACCAGTCAAGGAACTGCAAGAAGAATACACCCACAGAAAGGCCAGTAGACAGGGATAAGGCAACACCCCCCACAGCTTTCTTCAGAGCTGACTTCATCTTCTCACTAACACTGTTGGGAGAAAAGAACAAGGAGACAAAGAGAGAAACTTTATTTAGGTATAATAACAAAGTGACTAACATAAATGCAGTTCTTACATTTTTCATCAGAATCACTGGGACTGAATGGTTGGTAGACTATCTCCTTAAGGATCTATTCTAAATGATTCTTTCTAACTTACAGTATTTTAGGGGCACAGGAGCTAAGCTTTATTTTTAGTAACAAATGATTAGGGTTTGGTTTTGTGTTTTGAAAGAGAAATCAGTAGAGAATTTGATTATATAAATCTCCTCCCTTTTTTTAGTGGAAGATAGTGATCCAGAAAAAAAAAAATTCACTTAACAAAAAACTTAGCAGTATTGAGGAATGTATATATTTGAACTTGTAGGAGAACATAAATATGAACTAGAAGGAGCACAACAACAATATGATTAAGAGCACAGTCTTAGGCTGGGTGCAGTGGCTCACAGAGCACAGTCTTCAGAATTGTATTGATTTGGCTTGAATCCCAGCTCTGCCACCTTCTAGCTATGTAGCTACATGACCTTGGCAAGGTACTTAACTGCTTGGGTTTAGTTTCCTCAACTGTGAGCTAATACATTTACTTCATTGGGTTGTGTTGAGGATTAAGATAATGTACGTAAAGAAAGCACCTAGCACAGAACCTGGGACATAGCAAGTATGCACTAAAGTATACCTAGTATGATAAAGGTTACCAGGATGACAGTCCTTATTTTATGGACCCAAGGAATAGCTTTTCTGTGACTTTATGCAATACCACAAAGTTAACAGGTGAATTTCACAAAACTGGGATAAGATTTTAGAATTTACTAACTAAAGATCTTTTGGAAATGTTAAGGCCTTACCTCCTGGCTGGCTGCTGCATCATGCTGACCTTAGCTGGTTTGTGCTCCAGAGCTTGTATATCCTGAACTGTCAGTCGACCTAGCCGAACTCCAGCCAGCCTCAGCAGTGGTGAGTGATGCTGAGCTTTTCCTAGGATGTATCGAAGTTGTTGTACAAGAAACCATCCTTCCCAGGCCATATTCACAAATGGGTAGGCTGCCAGGAAGGCTCTGTAAAATCGTTTCCAGCGGGAAGAAGGGGGATGAATAGAATATTCATCCTCTTCTCTCAGGCTAGAAACCAGCTTCTCCAGCTTCACTTTCAGATAGGGAAGAAGAACCAGGACCATAATTGATTTCCAAAGCTGCTTCTTTGGGAGACCAGCGCTAGCCAGTCTCTGAGACTTGTGAGTGTCCCCCATTACAATTCTCTTTAAGCCATAAAAGTTTTCAGAAAATGAGGCACTGGTTCTAGACAGGTAATGCTGCTGGACCAGAAGATCTAGCAGAGTAAAGATTTCATCAAACCACCTCCACAAGAAGCCATAGTGGGTGGGATTTGATTCTGCAAGAACCTAAAGCAAAATAAAGCAGTAAGTAAAATTCATTCCATTACACAAGTTCTACACCTTCTATTTACATTCCCCCTTTTCCTCTAAAGTCTACACATTTTGTCTTAAGTCACTTTTGGACCCTGAAATGCTGGGTATTCAGTACAGGTCTCTACACATAACAGAGACTCAATAACTCTTAAGTCACGGGATACGAGTTATTTGCAAATTGGCTATTTCAAACGCTAGGCTACCAAATAAGCACAAATTATTCGTTGGTTTTTACCCAGTTGTCCCTAAAGCCTTTCCAAGAATTAATACCTTACCTTGACCACATGCTGAAGAGCGGGTCTCACTGCTGTCATTAAACTGTCCTGTGCTACCACCTCAAAGATGGATGGCTGGTCATCGGCTACAGAAGCAGTTGTGATGTGAGCCCCGTGCTCAGCCATAGCTTCCTGTGTGTACTGGCTTTCACTTTTCCCACAAACTCTCCTGTGAGCATGAACTTTTTCGGAAGGAAGGGTATCAGATGCGTGCTCAGTCTTAAAGGTAAACTTTCTGCATAATATCTGAAACTCGAAACTCAATCTTAAGGGCAAAAATGAACTGGGGAAAAAAGACCTGTTGTGGAGGCGGAGGGGAGTCTCAAGAAGGTTAATAACAAAGTTAACTCGGACCTGGGTGGAAGTGGTATGTGCGAGGGGGTAACTTGTCAAATGCTGCACCTCAGGGCAGAGCGTGACTGTGGGGGACGCGATCCTGTCGAGCTGCGAACCAGAAAACCCCCTCCTCTCCAATCGTGAGAGCTCAAAAGCTAGCCGACTCTAAGGATTCAGTCGTGTCACTGTAAGCCCGGGACATGAAAGCTAGCTCCAGCTGTTGGCTTTGAGTATCCCCGCCCGCGCCCGTCCTTGCTTGCTGACCCCACGCGAGGCGCAAAGAACCCGCGACGCCACGTTTGAAGGGAGGTCTCCGCTTTATGACAGAAGCCGCACCCGGAAATAGAAACCACCGGGACCTCAGGGACGCCTGGCGGAAGAGAGGCACTCTAGTCCCGAATGCGGCCCGGGAACCGGAACTAGAGAACTATGACCCACCCGAACTTCCGCTCCCGCCCCGCTGAAATAGAAGAGGGGTCTTGCGGTCTGGTTTTGGCTATGAATATTCAGCTGGTTTGCTTTAGTTTTCGTAGCTGGGTCTGCATGGTAGCCTCGCTGGAAAGCTACAGCTCTGAACCTCTCTCTGCGAGGTCCTTTTGACAAGCTGTTTGGGGCACCGCGCAGACGTCTGGCGCCGGGAACCAGAGCTCGGGCCAGTTGCTGAGCCCTGCGCTCCTCCTGCAGGCGATGGAGCTAGGGGCGGAGGGAGGAAGGGAATCTGGAGGTGGAAAGGACTCTGCTGTACACGCGCGGCAGGGATGGTGGTTAATTTATATGTCTTCGCCTTCCAGAAAGGATTTAAAGCGACAAAGCAGGAGATAGGACCCTTAGATTTATTGCCGCCAATTATAAGGAAGGATGATTGGATTGAGAAAGGTTCATGCTTGTTCCTCAGTACTTGAGATGGTTAATTTTCATCCAAGCTGGTAGTTTAACGTCTTCCAGGTTTTGGCTATATTCAAGCATAACTCCATGCTCTTGCTATACTGGAAGAAAATGGTCTCCGTCCTTGAACACAGTTGGATATGTCACCACCAGCGATGTGAATACAGTGCTAAAACAGAGGGAGCTTTATGAATTGTAACTAGCATGCACTGGGAACACTTGACAGAAGGGTTCCTTTCATGCCATTTTTATGCCAAAACGAATGTGATTTACCTTAAGGTTTGTAAAGTACTTTTATATTATGTACAGCTTTGTCTCGCTGGAGTTGGCTGACACAGGCTTATGAGAGTTCCACCTCTCCTCCCTTCCTCTGGGAAGTGCCACCTCTGGGCTAAATAACTGGGAATAGAAGGTATTGTTTACTGCCCTTATGTTATAAAAATAATTGGGTTGCATAATGAGAACCCTCAAAAACAAGGTTTGGATTTAGTTACTCCAATAGGAGAGAAAATCTTGCAAATTGTCCTTAATTATAGTTATAAAAAGTGTTTTTTACTCTACCAAAATCCATCATATTGATACATGATTTTTACCTTGCAGAGTTTTAAGACTAGACATAGTTTATCGATATAAAGCACCTCTATACATATTAGGTGCTTGTTTAATAGTAACTGTTATGTGCAAGCTTTTCTTAAGTGAATAGCAAAAATACAAAGTTGAGAAGTAGCATCAACTAAAGCAGGAAATTAAACATTTTTATCACTTAGGGATCTTTGGTTACAAGCAAAAGAAACAAACAGGCTAATTTAAACTAAAACGGAATTTACAGAAGTGTGTGGAATACCTCACAAAAATAGGTAAAGCCAGTCCTGAAAGAATAAGAAAGTAACAATACTATTGGGACTGCCTAACAGGAATTAGAAGTACTTATCCAGGCAACATTGTTGGCAATGAACGAGATTCCACTAATTTCTGTTTGTGTCTGTGCTCATGATACAAATTTCGACTGACCTCTCGGTTCAAGTTCCCTCTCCACCCTCTCTTTTACTCTTAGCCAGGGGAAGGCAAGATGTCTTGATTGATAGTCCCATGGAAGTACTCCAGAAGTTAACTAAATGAATGGCATAAGAAAAAGGAGACCGGGCACGGTGGCTCACGCCTATAATCCCAGCACTTTGGGAGGCCGAGGCGGGTGGATCACCTGAGGTCGAATTCGTGACCAGCCTCACCAACATGGAGAAACCCGGTCTCTACTAGAAATACAAAAAATTAGCCGGGCGTGGTGGCACATGCCTGTAATCCCAGCTACTCGGGAGGCTGAGGCAGGAGAATCTTGAACCCAGGAAGCAGAGGTTGTGGTGAGCCGAGATTGCGCCATTGCACTTCAGCCTGGGTGACAGAACAAGACTCTGTCTCCAAAAAGAAAAAGAAAAAAGAAAAGAAAAAGGAAAGGTAGGGCCAGGTACAGTGACTCGTACCTGTAATCCCAGCACTTTGGGAGGCTGAGACAGGTGGATCATTTGAAGTCAGGAGTTTGAGACCAGCCTAGCCAACATGGCGAAACCATCTCTAAAAATACAAAAATTAGCTTGGAGTAGTGGTGCAGTGGTGGCGGATGCTTGTTATTCCAGCTACTCGAGGCTGAGGCAGGAGAATCGCTTGAACCCAGGAGGCGGAGGTTGCAGTGACCTGAGATCACACCACTGCACTCCAGCCTGGGGAACAGAGCAAGACTCTGTCTCAAAAAAAAAAAAAAAAAAATTGCAAGTCAAATAAGAGGTCTGGGAGGCCCAACTCTTTTAGACTGGATGATCAGAATGTCCTTCTGAGGACATAACAAACCTAAATTATGAGGAGTCGGCCATATGAAGAGTTGGGGAAAAGAATATTAGGCAGAAGGAACAGTATTGTGAAGACTCTAAGGTGGGAAAGAGCTTGGTGTGTTTGAGGGCTGTTATAGCTAGCGAAATGTGAAATGATGAGGAAATGAGCAGTGACTGAAAGGCATAAAATGATGTTAGAGAGGTAGACAGGTCAAACCATGCAGGGACTCACAGGCCATGGGAACGACCCTGGATTTTAGTCCAAGTGCAATGGGAAGCAAGCCAATCAAGGATTCACACACCAGAGATGAGATCAGGTGTGTGTATAGTATGTGTGTGTATATATATACATATATACATATATATATATATTTTTTTTGAAACGGAGTTTTGCTCTTGTTGCCCAGGCTGGAATGCGATGGTGTGATGGCTGACTGCAGCCTCTGCCTCCCGGGTTCAAGCGATTCTCCTGCCTCAGCCTCCCAAGTAGCTGGGATTACAGGCACCTGCCACCACGCCCAGCTAATTTTTGTTTTTGTTTTTGTTTTTTTGTTGTTGTTGTTGAGACGGAGTCTCGCTCTGTTGCCCAGGCTGGAGTGCAGTGGCCAGATCTCGGCTCACTGCAAGCTCCGCCTCCCGGGTTTACAATTTTTGTATTTTTAGTAGAGACGGGGTTTCATCATGTTGGCCAGGCTGGTCTCGAACTCCTGGCCTTGTGATCCACCTGCCTTGGCCTCCCAAAGTGCTGGGATTACAGATGTGAGCCACTGCGCCTGGCCAGGTTTATATTTTTTAAAGATGTCTCTGATGGTTTTGTAGGTGTGCAATATTTACATCAAGCTTTACATTTATGATATATGCACATTTTTGTTTTTGTTGTGTTTTCTTGAGATAGAGTCTCCCTTTGTAGCCGAGGCTGGAGTGCAGTGGTGCAATCTCGGCTCACGCAACCTCCGCCTCACGGGTTCAAGTGATTCTCCCACCTCACACCCCCCAAGCAGCTGGGACTACATGCATGTGCCATCAAGCCCAGCTAAATTTTGTATTTTTAGTAGAGACAGGGTTTTGCCATGTTGGCCAGGCTGGTCTCAAACTCCTGGCCTCAAGTGATCCCCCTGCCTCTGCCTCCCAAAGTGCTGGGATTATGGGTGTGAGCCACTGCATCAGGCTAGATATGTACGTTTTTAAATGTATGTTATACATCCAAAAAAGTTAAACAACCTGGCCACTATGTGGACAATGGTAGAGAGAAGACTTATAGGCTTCTAATAGTCCAGGCAAAAGGTGATGGTGGCTTGGATTCATGAGATTGAATAGAGGGAGTTGGATGGCTTTGAGATTTTTTTGTTACTTGTTTTTGTTTGTTTGTTTGTTTTTTGAGACAGAGTCTTGCTGTGTTGCCCAGGCTGGAGTGCAGTGGCGCAACCTCAGCTCACTGCAACCTCCGCCTTCCGGGTTCAAGCAATTCTGTACCTTAGCCTCCCCAGTAGCTGAGATTACAGGCATCCGCCACAATGCCCAGCTAATTTTAGTAGAGATGGGGTTTCACCATCTTGGCCAGGCAGGTTACGAACTCCTGACCTTGTGATCCATCCACCTCGGCCTCCAAAGTGCTGGGATTACAGGCGTGAGCCACAGTGCCCAGCCACGGCTTTGAGGTTTTAAAGGTAGAATTGACAACTGGAGATGGATTGGATGTGTCAGTTGAAGGAAAGGGAAATCAGGAATGACCCCTAGATTTCTGGTTTGTGCAGCTCAGTGCAATTTATTAAAATAGTCACAATTATAGGAAATAGTTCCATAGTCCATGCTATGTGCCAGCCATAGTTCTAAGTGCCTTACATGTAATTTATTTCATTGTTCAATATTATGGTTACTATCTTCCTCCATTTTATTGATGAGAAAAGCAAAGAAAGGAGCACACAGATGGAGGAAACTGGGGGAAGAATAACTTTCAAACATGTTAGGCAATGAGAAGTTGAAAGTTTTTGAACAGCAGAGAGGTATGAATCAAAGCTCTTAAAAAGTTTTCTTTTTTCTTTTTCTTTTTTTTTTTTTTTTTTCCGAGATGGAGTCTCACTTTATCACCCAGGCTGGAGTGCAACGGAACAAACTCAGCTCACTAAAACCTCCTCCTCTCGGGTTCAAGTGATTCTCCTGCCTCAGCCTCCCTAGTACCTGAGACTACAGGCATGTGTCACCATGCCTGGCTCATTTTTGTATTTTTAGTAGAGTCAAGGTTTCACCATGTTGGCCAGACTGGGTTCAAAGTCCTGACCTCAGGTGATCTACCTGCCTTGGCCTCCCAAAGTGCTGTGATCACAGGCATGAGCCACCATGGCCAGCCTCTTAAAGATTTTTCTAATGACATCTTTACAAAATCTATGTCTATCTGCTAGGAGTTGTACCTTGAACCAGGTTTCTCTCTCTTTCTCCCCCTGTCTCCCCCTGTCTCTCTTTCTCTTTCTTTTTTTAGAGATGGTTTCACTCTGTCACCCAGGCTGGAGTGCAGTGGCATGATCATGGCTCACTACAGCCTCAAACTCTTGGGCTCAAGTGATCCTCCCACCTCAACCTCCCGAAGTGCTGGGATCATAGGTGTAAACCGCTGCGTCCAACTCTGTAACCAGGTTTTTCTAACCTCCTCCATCTCCTTATGATTTAACTTTGGTGGGCCATAAATACAGAATTACCCAGCAGTATAGTTATCGATTTGGTGATGAAATTTGGGGAATAGATCTAGGCTAGAGATAGAGATTTTGGAGCCATATATGTAAGAAAGATAATTAAACCTATGGTATGCTAAAGTGTTAGTGTAGAGAAAAATATACGAGTATAGAACTAAACTTTAAAAAATTGGCTGAGTTTGGTGGCTCACACCTATAATCCCAGGAGGATTATTTGGGGAGGCCAAATAATTTGGGGAGGCCAAGGCAGGAGGATCACTTGAGCCCAGGAGTTCCAGACCAGCCTGGGCAACATGGCAGGACCTCCCCACCCCTCTACAAAAAAGAAAAAAAAAATTAGCTAGGCGTAGTGACGCACGCCTGTAGTCGCAGCTACTTGGGAGGCTAGGTGGGAGGACTGCTTGAGCCTGGGAGGTCGAGGCTGCAGTGAGTTGTAATGGTACCACTGCACTCCAGCTTGGGCAACAGTGCAACACCCTGCCTCAAGAAAGAAAAAATCCTTGCCGCTCTTTTCCTCAGATACCATCTCTTCTTTCTTTGGTCATACTTTCTTATGAGTTATCTGCAATTCCTGCTTTTATTTCCTCACTTCTAATCCATCCTCAAACATCTGCAGTATGACTTTTGCCTTCGTATCTCTACTGATTTCTCAGCAATAACATCAAATACCTCCATGTTGCTAAATCCTGTAGACACTTTTTACCCCTTCCTTCTCCTGTCTATAGCAACTAATATTGTTGATCAATTATTTATGCATTTATTCAACATATATTAATTTGTGTGTGTGTGTGATGGGGCTAGGCCTCACATGGGTAAGAGTGAACAGATTGATATAGTCCCTACTTTCATGAAACTCCGAAAACATCCTAAAATATACTATTCTGCTTTTCCTCCTACCTCTCTGACTGCTCCTTCTCAGTTCTCTTTGCATTCTTGGGTTTATCTGTTTCTTCCCCAAGCTCTCCACATTCTTCATGAGTAATGTTCATGCCCACAGATTGAATTATCATCTGTATGCTCACAGTTCACAAATTTAACTCCAGATCATTCCTTATCTTCAGACACATATAATTAAGTACCTCTTGGATAGAGATCTTCACTCTAACCTAACATATAAAATGAACTCATCACCTCCCTCTCATTCCCCAAACTTCTGCCATCTCTTATATTTTCCTATTTTCAGTGACGAGTACCACCATTCATCCCTTGCCCAAACCTAAAACATAAGCCTTATCAGTCCTAGTGTCAGACTTCCTAGGTTCAAATCTTAATTCTACCTTGTGTGTGTGTGTGTGACAGGGTCTCACTCTGTCATCCAGGCTGGAGTGCAGTGGTACGACCTCAGCTCACTGCAAGCTTCGTCTGCCAGGTTCACGCCATTCTCCTGCCTCAGCCTCCCCAGTAGCTGAGACTACAGTTGCCTGCCACCACACCTGGCTAACTTTTTTGTATTTTTAGTAGAGACGGGGTTTCACCGTGTTAGCCAGCATGGTCTCGATCTCCTGACCTCGTGATCCGCCCGCCTTGGCCTCCCAAAGTGTTGGAATTACAGGTGTGAGCCACCATGCCCGGCCATCTTAATTCCACCTTTTAACTTCTCTGTATCTCTTAAAATAGAGGAAGTAATGGTACCTGCCTGGTTATCAGGTAGGTGGTGAGGAT